CGTATAACGGTTCGGTTCGAGTTCGGTTCGAACTTCGAACCTTTCTTGAACTCAAGCCAAAGTCCGGTTCGAGTTCGATTCGAATTTCGAACCGAACTCGAACCCAGGCAAAAGTCCGGTTCAGTTCGGTTTATAGGAACACTAGTGAATTATATTAACTTATTATAATATTTTATTTATTGTGAGACCAAATTATTCTAATTATTATTATATTATATATTGACTAAATTAATTAATAGATTAACATTATATTTGACTTTAATTCTCACTATATTATATATTAATTATATTAATTAATAGATTAGTATTATACTTAATTTTGTTTTACTATATTAAAATAAATTATTTGCAATACTAATTAGAATTTATATAAAAATGAGCATGAAATTTTGAATAATAAAATTTAATCAATCAAAATCAATATATATAATATTTTAAGTGCTAAATATCTTGCAATTATTATTAAAATTAATGTTAAAAAATCTAATTACAAATAATTTTTATAATAAAAATAAATAAAAAATATATAATATTATAGATTATATTAAAAACTATTTAATAATATATTTATTTTAATAATTATATTTAAAATAAAATTTCTTTACAATTTAATATATAGTTTAAAGTATTTGATATAGTTAATTTTATTTATATTTTTATTATTATTTATTATTTTTTTTAATTATTATTATTAATTAATGTAATAGATATTTTAATATTTAAATCTTTTGATATTTTTTTGTAATTAGTATTACAAATATTTTGATATTTTTATAAGATTATTTTTGTATAAAAATAATATTTTACTTTATAAATAAAGAAAATATTTTTTCAAGAAATTTCAAATAGATTTTTAAAGAAAAATCTTTAGACTTGAAATGATCTAGTACTTTAATATTTTTATATTATATATATAGTCTATATACAAAGTACTGACAGAGAATATTCTATATAAAATGATAGTTTTTCAGTTAGAATTAATTTATATTTAACCAAAATTATAAAAGAAATATATTATATTTTATTTACTTTATAAATTATGAATTAAATTTATAGAGAATATAATATTATAGAAATATTTTAAATAATAAATAATAAATTATAATACTTCTATCTTCAAAAAAAAGTTAATAATATGGTGCATAACATCTAAAGTCATCAAATGTTTGTATTTTATAAAATGTATAAACTTCTTTATTAAGAAGTAAATACAAATTTAATCCGTGAATATGTTCAGAAAGAACCTATTCTATAATATTCACGGATTAAATTTTGCATTTATTTCTTTGTAAAAAAGTTTATACATTTTGTAAAATACAAACGTTTGATGACTTTAGATGTTATGCACCATACTCTGCAAATTGCTTTTACATTCTTAGATCATGTGATTTGGATCAGATTTGATCCGGATTGCATCCTAATCCACTATCTTGCTTTACAAATTTTGATCAACCCGACAAAACAAATCCGATACAAGAAAATGAAAGAAACGAAAAATGTGAGCAATACGAAAAACAGATGTCAATATCTGGCTTGAAGCACTAATAAAAAGTGTCGGGAAGGCAATTATACGGATAAGTTCGTCCTCAGTTCCCTCGCCCAAACAATAAAATGGTCTTTGACGTTAATTTTTCATGATCACGTGAGCTTGAATTTTTGTTGGGTACGCAAGTATTTTGTTGTTATTGACCGTTTAACAAACCTGGCATTCAAACCTACATGATGTACAACAATAAGAACGCTAATGAAAAGAGATACGACCTTAACGACAATAACAACAACAGCGCCAACAAAAATAAATTCAAATATAAACAAATCGTCGAAACCAATAGCTCGAAAATGAGGCATCGAAAAATCAAAAAATTTAAAGAGAAAACGGCTCAAGATCTTATACTTAATATTGAGGACAAAAAGTATAAATTTTTTATATTTAAATAGAGTATATCTTCGACATTATTGATTAATCTCGGGGGGTTTTTTTTATTTGAAAATCGATAATGTAGAACTACATTAAGTAAAAGTCAGTTCTATCAGCAACTAAAAGGTATTTATATTATCGAGTGGATGAGTCATTAGTTGAATTGATTTTGATTGATCTTTGGATTATTTTAATAATTCAACCAAATAGACACAATACAAGATTCTCTTTCGTCGTCAATTAGATCATCACTTGTAGATATAGTTTGTTATGGAATTGGTAGTATAAAAGATTCGCGTATTACTCAATTTCAATTCTCATTGCTTTTACTGCTACGAGATTTATTTCAGGCAAGTTTTTTATGCATCTCTTTCAATTAGGCGTTGCTTTACCTCTACAATTTTCTTGAGATTATTTCTTGTTTCTGAAATGAAAAGATATCAGGATCCGTGTATATATATGATCCGATATTAGCATCGTTGGATTTCGAGGTGTTGGTGTATTACGGGATAATTTCGATCGAAGAAAACGAGGTATCTTATTCCTTTGTGTAATTATTATATCGAATATTCATTGACATGACGATTCGTTTTAACAGAAAGCAAAGCGTAAAATAACACAGCCTACACTTTTCTATATGCCGCATTGCCCAATTGGGTTGTATAACAATCTGATTGGAGCAAATTGGCAAAGATATAGTTTAACTAATATGTTATTGATAGGGAATCGACTGGAATTTTATGCGGAGCGGTATTTCTTTTTTTGAATACGTTTGCGTTTGATATATATTATTTGATTCTAGAAATTATCTCAAATGTATAAACTTTTTTTATAGTTGTCCCTCCGCGAAATTCAAAATGACAGCACCATACTTACCTTCAATATCCTTCTTACTCAAAATAACATGAACATTGACTTCTCGATTAAAATAAATAGATTTATGATGATGATCATAATCATTATAATCATAATCATTATAAGCATTATCATTATAATCATTATTCCTTAACCAAAAAACTAATACGCTTTAACCATTCTTAATTGCTTGCCTTTTCCTTCGATCAGCTCGACTGATAATACCTTATGGCCTGACGAAACGTTCAATGAGACGTGTTGGCATTGGTTCCCGGCCAGTAAAATATTAGCGCGTTGTGGAAAGAATATTGTAGATGGTAATGATGATGAAGAATTCTGGAGATCAAAGTGGACAAATCACACAGAGGAAGCAGATGATCCTGAAATTATTTGATTCTTTCGTAGGAAATAGACTTAGATATATAGATAGAATGTACAGAGGAGTCAACTAAAATTAGGACGATTTTATAGTAATTATAATCGTAAAAAAAAACAAGATTATCCTTAAGCTTCTTTACAGGCTTGCTCTTATGAATTGGTGCATTACCCTCTTGGAATATTGCCTCTTCAGCTATCATAACCATTGGGTAAATTACATCTAAAACAAGATTTCCGTGTTTCTCTCCATTCATACATGATGGAACGCGCACTAAATGGTTTAAATTGCATCCATTTATGCATCTCCAGACCATAATAGACTTGCGTCCACTTTTAACAGTTGCTTATGTGCAATTAGGAACATAAAGCTCATCTTCATGACACCAAACACAGACCTTTCCATATGAATCAGTACTAATAGAGGACTCATCAGTCCAAACACACGTCGCCAATCTTCTTTGATCCAATTCTTGTGTTTTTTAGCCCAGTTTAATCGTTTGATTCGATTTATTTCACTAATCATTGGTTTTTTACGTGCAATATGAGATTGGATACCATTTTTCTTTTGAGTTTTTATCAAGGTATTTTTGGGTATGTGATTGGACGAGATTTCAGCAGCAAGCAGGTGTTTGACATCTTTCTTAATGTTGGATTTGTTTTAATTTTTCGAAGAATTAAACGTTCAAAACGTTGATCAACAATGGATTTCGGTCATTATTTTTCTTTGCAAATAACTGGTATTATTGGTTAATTTTAATCGTTTGATAACTAGTAGCTGATCGTCCAAAGATGCGTGCAATTTTTGTAGCAATGCTTTCTTGAGTATTTTACAGTGAGACATTCTTCGTTAATAAGATCTTTGTTGCGACCAATTTGTATATATAATTTGAATTTTCCCCTCGGAACATTATAATTTATTAAATCACGGGAATAGATTTTTTAGTGTATAATTAAGAAAATGGTTTGTTGTTAAATAATCCAAATTTGGCTAGCGCGTAATTCAAATTAGGTCTAGATTATCCTAATTTTACAATAAAAAATAGTCTATTCTTTAGTCAAAAAAACTCAAAGACGATATTGATCCATCCCTGGAACATTATTGCATATTTGTAGTCTTTTATCACCGACAAATTCATCTTTAAACAAATCACTCAAATGCTCACAATTCTTCATGACCAACATGTTCAATGAAGGAAGCCCCGACAAAATTTTGCGAGCAGCCTCATCATCAATACAAGACCCAGAAATATCGAGTACCTCCAAAGACTTGCAAAATTCTGGCAATCGTCCCAACGAAGCACTCGTAAGATACTTACAATACTCTAAATTCAAGCATTTCAAATTCAAACATTTCGACACGAGAGAAATCAACCCAACGTCTGTCAGTTCACAAAAATGCGCAACTACGCGATCCAACTTCTCGCCAAGCTCACCAAGAGATACGAACGCAATATCAGTTAACTGGGTACATCCCAGTAAATTGATGTCGTTGATGTTTTTCGCGTAGCGTACCAAGTACTTTATCCCGACATCGGTGATTTTTGCGCATCGTGACATGTCTATTGCGGTCAAATTTTGACATTTTTGTGCTATGACGAGAATTCCTTTAGAGGTGATCTCTAAATTTTGTATTGATAATTGACGAAGATTTGGAACATGCATTGCTATTGCTTTTGCAACCTCATCGGAAAGGCTGTATGTGGATTGACCTATATTAAGAAATCGGAGACGAGGTAGTAGTGGAAGCAAAGAGTTCAATAATCCATCTGTCAATGAACATCGAAATAAATTCAGATATTCGAGATTTGGAACCCTTTTTACAATATCCATTATCTGTCTTTCTTTGAAATCATAACGAAAGCTTATATCAAGATGCCTCAGTGATGCCCATTCCTTATCAAGTGTATACAGATGAATGTGATGACACATGCTAAACAGAACAAGTAATTAATACACAAAAATTAAGAATATAATCACGAATTTACTGCTATCATTCATTATATACCAACCCTATATCTACTTTTGTTAATTTCGGGCATTTTTGCTGTAAGAATATTACCGATCTCTCCGTGATACCTGTGCACCCAAACAATCTCAATTCCTTCAGATGACGACATTGCATAGTCAACGCGTCGATAGCTTTATCAGTGAGCGTATAACAATTATACAAGTCAACTTTAACAAGATTCGGGGTCTGATTAAAAAGATCAATGAGCATTCTGTCAGTGACTCCATTCTTATGCTCCAACAATGAAAGATCAAGAGTCTCGACCGAAAACCCGTAAGGATGTGTCGAGTGCCAATGTGTAGTTGTGATCGGTTGAATAGGCGTTGAAGTAATGTCTACTTTTTTAAGCTTGATTTTCTTTTTTTCCAAGAGCCCGGCAATAAGTTTTGCCCAGTTTGCAAACGCACGTTGTTTCCTTGTCCATGCAATTCTTCGAAGTATGTCAAGAAAGGCAAAGAACGTTTTAATTTTTTTGAAGCGCGCTGTGTTCCAAATGAAAAAGTGAGTAACAGTATAATGCCAGTTTTTGTTGACTCGAGCACAAGAAAGCAGTTCACGAATGTCTTCCGTATCTTTAAGGTAACCAAAGATTAGAAGTAACAGTTCGGGCGGTAAATTTGAAGAAGGCATTTTGCTTCCTGTTTCTTGGTTAATAATACAAAAGTAAGTTAGGATGACATTGTGGCTGGGTTACACATACCGTTCAGGTGAACGAGTTAATCAGTCGCATTGTATTACAATACTTGATTTCTTACCTTTGTTTGTTTGTTTGTTTGGTAATTCTCAGCAAAATTTTCTTTTATATTGCTAATAAATTCACTTTATACATTCATTAGATTCACTAAAAGTACTACTCTCTTGGTCTCTGTTAATTATTATAAAGTAGAAAACAATCAAAGAAAAGAGCTCGTGAGTTTCTTTTCTTTTCTTGAGGCGTGGCCGTGCGACAAAGTCTTTTTCGATTTGTCTCTACTTTCTTCGACATCATCTGTGAACTAGCTAGCTGCTTTTATAAGTCCAAACACAAATATAAAAAAAAACTTTTCGTCGGCAAATAAATACCTTCGTCTTTTTTTATTTTTACAAGACCTCTCTTTTCTGTTTTTATTTACTTTATATTAATAAATTTGCATACCATTCATTCATTGCTCGCCAATGAAAGACGGATACATTAAATCATAATATGCCAGAACTTTCAACAACAACGACATTTGAACATAAAAAATCTGGTAAAGTTATAGATTGTTTTTATTTTATCGACGTGTATGGAGACTCTACTAACCAATTTACTTATGCTTGGAACTACGATTAAAAGAACTTAATAATATTAAAAATATCAGAGGTACTAAGAAAATGGCAACTCAAACAAGTATTTTACACAACAACAATAAACCAAAAAAGGTATTATTACCACATCACATCACATCGTAAGATACCTATTAGTTAAATGCTGAATAATAATATCTTTTCAATAACAAAATTATTGATAGTTTGTCCCTGCACCAGTTTCTGATTATTCCGATTCTGAACAAGAAGCCAGCGGTAGTCAGGCTTTCATAGAGGAATATGGGCCTGGTTATGAAACTGAAACAGAGGATCTTGAACCGGAAGAGGCTCGAGAAACACTTCAGCTTGAACAATTGGTTAAAGCCGGCTATCTGCATAAAAAACAAGAGAGACGAAATGTGCGAGGAAAGGTTCGTTGTCGAATCATTTTTATGTTTATTGGAATATAGGTCTTAATGATGATATTATTATGTTGTTGGATAGTTCTAATATTTCGAATAATCACATAATGATTGATAGCATTGGAAACGTCGTTGGTTCGTGCTAAGGTCTACGAAATTAGCATATTATAAAGATGAAAAGGTAAATTAAATCTTTGGTGGTGTTATGATTTTTTTTTTAATTCAAACTATTAATTGATTTTCCAATTTTAAGGAATATGAACTTCTTCGCATCTTGGATATGAACGATGTGCACGCAGTCGCAGAAGTAGAACTTAAACACAAATCCAATGTATTTGGAATATTCACATCAAAGCGAACATACTACATTCAGGCTAATGACAAAAAAGAGCTATATGAATGGGTTGATGCATTGAACAAAGTAAAAACACAAGTTCAAGATGAGGAAGAGTTGATGGAAGACGAAGACGAAGGAAGTCAGGCCGATAGTGAAGAGATGGCTTCTAAGCAGGCGAGAATTGCTACACCAAAACGACCTTCTAAATTGGCTCATAGGGAACCTCCTCAGCTTCGAGTCAATTCATCGACATCTGCTTCTACAATACTGGAACAACCACTTGCAATGTCACCTGTAAACGCTACTCCGGTTGTTGATATACCTTTGGTTCAAGGGAATAACAATATTCATACTAGCGGCGAAGGCAATGCGTCGGTTTCTTCAAATAATTCGGTAGCGTCATATGGAAATGTACCGTCAATACCATCAAGCCCTTCCGCAGGGAATTTTCCGCCACCAGAAAGAAAAGACAGTAGCGATCCAACTGCTAGCTCTGAGGATGAAGACGGTATATATGAGGGAGTACCGTCAAATAGTGCTGGAATTTTCGGGGATGAATCAGAGAATAATCAACCGATATATTCCGGCTATTTATATAAATTAAGTAATAGATACAAGGTTAGTTCTTCACACAAAAAAAACATGCTTTTTATTCAGTTGAGATTTTTTGATATAATAATTTTCATTCATGTGTGATAGACTTGGAAAAAAAGATGGTTTGTACTTAGGACCAATACTCTGAATTATTATAAAAATGAAAAGGTAATTAATTAATTATGGATTTTACTTTTATAATATATTATTTAATACTTATAATATCTAAAATAAATAGGAACGCGAGGCTCTTCGAGTAATATCTCTGGGTGTGATTCTCGTTGCTATGAAAACAGACTCAATGTCTAGATCTAAGAAAAACTGCTTCAAAATAATTACACAAAAGCGCGCATTTATTGCATGTGCACCAAATGAAGAGGCTGAACGTGCATGGCTGGACGCTTTACAAACAGCCTTGAACAGAACAAAAGAAAAACAAAAAGAGGAAGAAAATTTTTTTCAGTCGTCAGTCATCGAATCGACTGCTTAAACTTTTTTTCTCTAGTTAATTTGGGGGACATTATAATCACATATAAACAACACATAAATAAACACACATACGTATGCTATACTATTTGGTGTGCACCTGTGTGAGATGTTTACCTTGTTCAAAAGTATTTTTTTCTTCTCGAGTTTTTATTATAAACTTTTTTGGGTGGGGTATATATATTATATTATATTATATTATATTATAATTTACTAATTAATGTCCCTTTGAGGAAGCTCATGTGCGCACTTATAATAATATCTAATTTAATTTAGTCACTCTTTTCTCTTGCACGTTTATTAATTACTTTTAATTACTTTTAATAAATGATTAATTTATTTTTGATTTTTTGAGATATGGGCAGTATTGAAAATAACACATGCAAACATTTAATAGCTCAAAATTATCCATACATCATTCAATAAACTAATTATTCACTTGGTCACTCTAAAAATCATCGTTAATTTATTTAATTGAATATGTATATGTATACATCGAGTACTACGTAGTCAAATTAAATTGTATAATCCAAAAAAGCTTTTGTTACCTGAAAAGGCAGAGGAATTAATGAATTACCAAATTGATCTTTCCCAGATCATCGTGCAACATCACTAGCATTATTTGTTGTCGATCAAACTGTGCCTGATCTATGCCAAAAATTACATATCTATGCGAAAACCTTGTGATAAATAATTATGTGATCGGAAAAGCCTCATCTACATCCTGTCTAACCCATAAAAATACTATTGAATAATAATTCTACTCTATATAGTTGATTTAACTAGTAACTTTTAACTGGACTAGAATGTAGGTAAGATTGTTTCCAATCACATGATAAATATACGTGATTATTTTCACGTGATTTGCTATACATCCAATAGTGTTCCTATGCACCGAACTGAACCGAACCAGACTTTTGTCTGGATTCGAGTTTGGTTCAAAATTCAAGTCAAACTCGAATCAGATTTTGGCTTAAGTTCAAGAAAGATTTGAAGTTTGAACTGAATTATTATACAAGTTCAAGTCTGATTTGAGTTCAATTAAAGATTAGTATATAGTATCATATATTGATTTGTAACTTTAAATATAAGCTACAAGCACAATTTATGGTATTTAGTAAGAATTAAAAGGTTACATAGTAATAACTAGAGTATTTTATTTTTATATATATTAAATTTGATTGTAAATACTATGTAATTTTCTGAATAATTATTATTAATAATAATTATCTTATATCAATTTGTAATTCTTATTTCTGATTACAACTTTACTTATAATCATAGTTTATGATTACTATAGCAAAATAAATATTTATTATACAAAAACTAAAGCAGATTAAAATTATAATAATTAAAATTATTATTTTTGTTAATTTAAAAATTGTTGAAATTAATAAACTAATAAAGTAATATAACAGTAAAAGAACAAAGACTGAATAAATTATGATTAATGTGATTCAATAAAGATTTTAAAGATCTCCTGTGATAACTTGTATACAAATTAACTAATTATTATCAATAAAGAATAGAAATAAATAGAAAAATTAAAGTAAAAATACCAAAAGAATTAAAGAAATTAATAAATAGTTTCAAAGTAAATAATAGAACTTATTGATAATGCCTAACAAAATAAAATACCAATTGGACTTATTGAGAATATTAATTACAAAATATAAATAAAAATAACTAAAAATAATCAAATAGAACTTATTGATACAGTTTAAAAATAATAATATCAATAACTTATTTAGAGTAAAGAAGCATTCACTACTTGTAATTTCAAGATTTGAAGATAATTTATGAAAATAATAGTATATTTACAAGTAAAATATTACTAGTAAGAATTTTGTTATTTTATTAAATCAAAGAATTAGAGCATGAGAGTTTTTAGTAACAAGAGATACATTTTTAATTTTTGATACAATTTACATAATTAATGACTATTTTAAATCATATCATTATTTATAGACAATATTAACAATACAAAAGGAGTATAAACACCAAAAAATAAATGAGAAATTATACAAATTCATTAACAAGAAAATACAAAAGAAAATTAATTGCAATTTTAGTGATTAAATATAAAAAAAAGTAAGAGTTTGAATAAAAAGAAGTGTTATAAAAAAAGAAAATAATAGTACAAACATGATTATAGATAATTATAACAAAAAAATTAAGAGATAAAAAGAATAATTGTAACAAGAGTGAAAAAGAAAATAAAGAAATATAAAAATGATTAATTAAAAATAATGAAATAAAAGATAAAAATAAGCATGATAGAAGTATAAATAAGATAATAAACCAATAGCTAAAATATAAGTTTTATAGTAAAAAATACAAAAATAAATGAATTTAGTAAAATAGTAAAAGAAAATAAAACAAAGAGTATACAAAAATATAATTCTTATTTAGGTATTATAATTTAAATATCAAAAAGATACTAAATATAATCATATAATAGAATACAATGTAAAAATAAAGAGGCAAATTAATTTGATTATCATTAAGTTATATGATATTACATTAATTTTCTTTGTAATACATCTTAATTTTTGTTGATCAAAAATTAAGTAATTACAAAATTTTTGATGAGAATGATAACATTATTTTTTAAATTTATATAACTTCTTAAATATTATTACAATTATATTATAAAAATTATTGATTTTATAATTTGTAATATTTTACAAAATTATGAAAATCATATAAAGAACTTAGAATATTTTACAATTATATTATATATTATTAATTATTATATTCATATATTTTTATTCTTCTATTTTGTACTTTTATATTTTATACTTTTTATATTTTTATACTTATTTATTCTAAGTAAATATAACTTAACCAATTAAAATTCTTCAAGATTTATACTTTTTTTCCTTTATCTTTTTATTTTCTATATTTAGTAAATTGGAATTTTATTTTTAGTTAGCATAATTATCTTTTATATTTTTTTCTTGTTTTTAATATTATATTTGTATTTTGTAAAAAATATATAAATATAAGTTGTAGTTAAGTCTTAATTCAATATGTCAGAACTTGAGAATAAATAACATAATAAAACAAATACCTTTTAATACTTAACTAATTCACTTTTCTCTTTTAATTATAAACTTCAAAACTTGTAAACAAGTAGTTTTAGATTGTATTGAGCTGATCAAAATATTGTTATTGAATTATTGAATTAATATGTTGTTATAGACTAGTCTTTTAATATTTTTATTATAATTGAATATTTAAATCTTTTAACTAAAGATATTATAATTTCTTTCTTGTGAAAGAAATAAAGTAAAATAATCTTCATTATTTTTGTTATTTTGTTAGCTTGAAATATATTTATACCAGTACAAAGAATTAGTTTATTTATATTAAATAAGCATTTCAATTAAATAATTCATAAATTAATTAGTTAGTATGATTAATTGAAAAACTATATCTAATTAAAATCTTATTTTTTTACTCCTTTTTCTTTTTTAAATTATAATAATTTCAGTAGAAATTGATATAGAATTAGATATTATTTTTATAATTGTTTAATTCTCTCTTCTAATTCTTGTTTATGTTTATTAACTAATTATTTAATTAGTAAAAAATGTATAACAATATTTATTCTAAATATTAACTATCTTATATTAATTTGTATATTAAAATTTACAATTTTACTTAGAATATTAACAAATAATTACTTGAACTTAAGGATGCTTGCCTAAATCCTTTCAGAAAAATATTGTCATAATTTTGACAGATTACACACTAATTGTTAATTAGAATTTTGACATAATTTTGGTTATGACAAGTTTCAAAATTCGTCAGAATTTCAACAGGTTATTTACTAATAGTTTATTATAATTTCGACAAAATTTAGACAGTCACTAAGGGATTTCGGCAAGCAACCTTACTTGAACTTTTGGTTAAGTTTGAATTTGATTCAAAGTTAAACTGAACTTGAATCAAACTTTTAATTAGGTTTAAATTTTTGAATTAAATTTTTGATCAAGTTTGAGTCTAATTCAAGCTCAAACTGAATTAAATTTGAACTAAATCAGATTTGAACTGAATCAGACTTTTTTTTCAGAATTATAACATTCAATAATAAATTTTATAATCAAATATGTAAATGAAATGAGTAAATACATAATAATAATATAAAAAAATATATTATAAATAAACATTTTAAAGAAAACTATAACAATTTTCATATATTCTTATAATTTCTTGTATCATGTCCATTATTTTTTGTGTTATATTGTTATAGTTTATTTTGTTAGTTATATATTATTGGACAATTTTTATATCAATTTTTATTGGACACTTCGTATAATATATTTTATTGGACAATATTTATTTTTATTTATTCTTAATTTTATTTGTTAGCTATTTTTATACCTATTGTTCACATGTATTGTACATCAATGTGACAGATATATTGAACATTCGATATTTTGAACTGTTGATCATTAGAGATATTGAATTGTTGATATTTTGAAGCATTGATCTTTAGAACTATAGAAATTTTGCTTGATTAGTGTTACGGATATTTAGAGATCTT